CAATTTAAAATACCTGGATTGACTTTGCAAGCCATCTACTCATCATTTTCGTTTTTCTCTCTCCCTCTTGAAATGATTTGATTTAATGACAGCAATCATACGGTGCATGTAGGTGAGGGCACAAATTAATTGAGGTATTGCATGGATGAATACAGCTCTTCATCGCTAGAGAACAACCCCTAACCTCAAATTGCATAGACTCTTTTGAGACCTCCTTGCCTCTGTTTTAACACGGCAGGCCCCGGTTTATTATTTTCTCTTGAGTCAGACTTTGCCCGTGTTCCCAGCGAAGCTTTTCGTGCATTCCCTAGGGAGCATCTTGTAGATGAGTGTTTGATAAGCAGCCACCAAGGCTCTGTGGCTGCCGCCGTTCTGGGTGGTTCTGGCACAGCCCGGCCAAAGCAGCCGTGCTCCCTGACAGGGTTGTCACCTGTCTAATGAGCTTGAGGAGCGAGTCCCATCCAGGTGTTTATGTGCTGGCCTCCTTACAGAGACTCCATTATCTGTTGCTTTGGAAAACAGTTTCTTGCCATTTCATCTGGTGTTCTGGTAAATCTATAAAAGAGTTTTGCATTTAAGCACTTAATCTTGTGCTCAGGCAGGTTTGATGTCCAACATTGCTGTTTATGATACAGAGTCAGTTACTGAGTCCTTACTAAACAAACATCTTCGGTGGTCTCTGTGATACTCTCGAATACAAAATTGTCTGTGTTTTGTTGATTSTTGTCACTGGTTTATACACTGTTCTGTCCTGCTCCATCTGTTTCTATGGCTAARTGGGATTCAAGTGAGTTCATTAAGAGCGCATCGCCTTATATTAACTCTGACATATACTAGGTGTCATGGAAAATAAATGCTTCAAGTATCTCTACAGTGTGAAGATCTTCTGTATCAAGAAAATTGAACTTTGATTACTCTGGGAAGGTGGGAGGGAGGTATGTCTAGCACAGGGCACTGCAAGAACCAAATATTTGTGAAAGCTGCTCATTTCTCTGCTGGCGTAGAAGAGCTCTTGCTAAGATGAGTGTCTGTCCCTGTGTGCCTTCTGCTGCAGTGATGTGCAACGTTAATCCCTCAAGCACAGCGAAGAACATAACACCTTGTTTAGCAGCTGGGGATACTTTTGCTGTTGCCCGCTGCAGGGCACAAAGCAAACCGTGAATTTGCTCTTTGCTGGACAATGTGCCTCCCAGCTCACCTAGAATTGCAGCTTGCTCAGCCTCTGAGTATCTGCCCTTGCACGTACTGCCCCTCACAGGTGGGCACAAGATACTCTGCAATAAGTGCATAGCCCCTGTCCAGGCTGTGCTGTCTTTGTGTGCCAGCCTCCAGAGAAACCCCGTTCATCTCGGCAGTCATGGATACTCTTGTTTATGGAGTAAACTATACAATTCCTATAAGTTCTCCCTTTTCTTTCCTGCAACCTGTTCCCCTACCCTCCTTGCAAAATGCTGTAAAACCGGACTTGCTGCCTGCTCTGAGACTGCTGTGAGGAGGGAGATGATCTAAGCCTTGCTGTGGGGTACCAGCTCTGATCCGATGTGGTGAGGAGCTTCTGTGCCCCCCTTTTGCCCCTCACCTGCAGCTGCTAATCACCTAGGCCTTCATTTAATGTCAAAGGGTCTGTAGTGACCTTAGAGGAAAGAAGAGCAGAGCTGTCGCTGTTGATGTGGAGCGCAAGCGCGCGGCTCTTGCCACAGGAGCCATGCCCCTGTCACTCCTAGACTGGATTAACGCAGTGCGTGGGGCTGCAGCCACACACCTGTGCACAACAGCATTGTCTGCTTGTTGCARTGCCACGGGAGAGCATTTCCCAAAGCAGACAGCGTTTCTGAGCAATGTCCCCAGCTGGGATCTGCAGCTGACTTCTCGCGCTGGTCTGGCCGGAGCTGCTTTGCCTGTCAGCGTGGGCTTTAAAGCTTACCTGCTGCTGCTATCTCTTTCCGTAAGAGGATAAGTTGAAGGATTGAATGGCACTTGAGCTTAAGACCTTCTGAGGCCCATGTGTGCTTGAGTCTCTCAACAATCATTTTTTCTCTCTTTTTTTAACTCTTGGTATTTGTGGTTAGAGAGATGTCCTTAATGGTACCTGTGGCACAACAGAGACACTATTTCTTCTTTCTTATCCCATTCATGTGTGTCTAATGCACAGAAGTCCAGCTTCCTCATTAAGTCTGGTCAGTCACTTGATCGGATATGTAATAACAGGCCTTGCTATATGGTTTAATTTCACTGCAGTACTTTAATATTAGAAAAAGAGTAGGGATGGAGAATGGACAGGAGGCTAAACCCAGTCTGTTACTTTTTATTAAAAGCTTAATGAAACCCTTGGTTTATGAAGCAGTATTGAACACAGGTCACAGCTGTTTGGCTAGCRGACTCGTATGAATAAGCCTGTGCTCATGGACACCTTGCAAAGCAAAGAGCTTCCTGGGAGCTGAGCACTGCTGAGGTAAACAGTGTCAGTCCTTGGTTCAGCTGTTCACTGAGGGGTAGTGCAAGCTTTATTGCCTGTAATTGGGCGTCAAAGATGTGTATGTATATAKGTATTTCTTTCCAGTTATGCTCAGTGTGGCCATCCGCTTATTTCATTGTTAAATGCTCTCAGGAGACTTTCAGTCTTTAATACATGCCCCTCCATGCAACTTTGAAGGACTCAGGCTGTGCTTCGTGGCAGGTTCCCCAGAGGATGGATGGTCTCTCTACATAAGAGTCATTTCTTTGCCTGTCCCTGGGTATTTAATGTCCCGACGGTTCTGTGCCAGTGAATGGAGCCTTAATCTACAGCAGGACCTAGAACATGACAGGGAGGGAAGGCTCCACAAATGTATTGGTGTCCATAGCCATAGCTGGGGGCTTTTCCAACGTAACTGAGGGAAATTGTGGGTAGTTTTGTTTAGATTTGGCTGTGCCTGAGTGGTTTCCCAGGTCCATCTGATCTTGCTTTGTGTTTATATCAGTCACCTTGGATTTAGGAATATTTATCCTTCTCTGTTGGAGTTCTTAGGCTTCTCTCTTTTTTTTTTTTTTTTTTTTTTGCTTTGGATTGGAGCTGATGGGATACAGTAGGTTTGTGTTTGTAGTTGATGCCTGCAGTTTGAGCTCAGATAGGACCTCTCTTGCTGAAAATTTTTTTTTGTTTGTTTGTTTGTTTGTTTGTTTTTGGTCAATGGGACAATGAATCAAAACCGTTTGTTCTTCTGGGAAGTGAGAACCTGCCAAAATCCACGTGCTGCTACTAAGGGTATTCTTTGAGCTGTCCTTCTGGGGAGGTGGGCCCAGAAAATGGAGCTGGACACTTTCTTTTTTGCCCTAGGTAGCTCTTGACACAATGCTAGTCTAGCAGAGAACAGCCCTGCTTCGCTAAATTCTTCCTCTTCAATATCTGAGTCTGGTGTTTAGAGATATTTTTTTTGAATTGAAGGCTCTAGGGTTATTTGATGTCTTGTCAGTCAGCAMAATGGTGTGTATTGAATCTTGCTCATGCCCTTTCTCCTGATGTGGGAAAGCAGGACACTGTAGCCCCATAGTTCTGTAAGCGCATTCGGGCCATGGGCCATTACTCTGGAAATCTGACTGCTTTTCAGTTGGGATCCTCAAGTTCTTCTGGTTCCTTGGCTACCTAACACTAGTTAGTTACCTGACTAGCAGGGATTATTCTCTTCTAACTCGGTTACAGGAGCAGAGTGTAAATTTGTCAGTGGCCAACTGCTGTACTAGTAGTGTATCACCTGGCTAATGCAGCTTTCCTGTTGTGCCAACATGTTCTAGGATTTCCATCAAAGATGAAGTATGTGCTGGAGACATGAGTTTTCCAGCACAGAAAATAAAGTTCACGCGAGCTATGTCTATTGAAATTGATTCTTACTTCTAAATAATGTAGAAAAGCAGGGACACTCACCTTGGTTGGAGAAGCTGTGACCTGTTAGAGCAGAAGTGACTGCTCATTTTGTAGAGAATAACATACCACTTCTGTCCCCCTCAGGCTAGAGGAAATTCAGTATTTCCTACTTTGAATCCTCCACTCATGTCAGCAGAAATTTTTAAAGATACCAGATTAGACTATGTCCTCACTGAAAACTGATTAATGTTTCTTTCTGTTTTACACAGCACTTGGCCTTTGGTGGAGAAGCAGCTGTCCATTTGATCTGTAGCTAGTTCTCTTATTTTTTTCTATTTGTCTTTCCAATATTTTTTCTATGTTTGCATTTCTTTACTAATACATTACTGAATGAGCAATAAAATAAAGATTGTCCACACTAAAAATGTGCTTATTTGACTTTTGCTTCAGTGAGATGTTAATAAGAAAGGATAAGCAAGGTTGCTCTTCCTACTTCTAGCTTTCTAGCAAGGTTGGTTGGACAAGCTGCCTGATTTTATTTTATATATATGTGNGTTGGACAAGCTGCCTGATTTTATTTTATATATATATGTGTTTTTTTTTTTTTTTTTTTTTTTTGTGTCAAGGTTTTCAGGTGTTAATTCCTTATTTAAATTTTGATTTTGTTTTTCCTACTTCTTCTACCCAGCTTTCTGCAGAGGACGTGTCGTGAGAGTGCCCCAAGGTCCCCTCATTCGAGTGGTGGGCACGGAGGTGGTGATCCCTTGCAGTGTTAGTGACTACGATGGACCCAGCGAGCAGAACTTTGATTGGGAATTCTCCCGAGAGACTGACTTCCTGCGGATAGTGAGCACCTGGGATTCCACTTTCACCTCCAAGGAGTTCCAAAACCGTGTGGGACGAGGGGATATCAAACTGAGGCGGAGCAGCAACGATGCTGTGGAACTTGTGATTAGCAACATCCAGCCACCTGATCAAGGGATATACAAATGCTCTACACCCAGCACTGATGCCACTGTTCAGGGAAACTATGATGCTGAGGTCCAAGTGAAAGGTATTTCTGAAGAGTGAGGTGTGCTCTAAATTTGTTCTTGATACTGATTTTACCTGGATGTTTTATGTTGAACTTTTATTGCTCGTRAATGTTCTGATTGTCTTCGTAATACTGTTTTATTTTCCTAATGTCTTAATCTCAATTTATGAGGTATAGTGGCTGCAGAGGAAAGTGAGAAGAAGGGAGGCTGTTACTCTCAATACCATGGCACTTTTTTCCTATCTAGCAAATTAGTAAATATAAATGGGAAAATGAAGCAGTGGGTTTTCTGAAGATGTCAGTGGATATTTAATCTCAGTAAGCCTCTGGGTAGAGGCTAAATTTGGGTACAAAACAGAACCTGTCTTCTCTTTTTTTATTTAGTGTCATTTAGGTATCTCTCCCTACAAAGGAAATAATCTCACTTTTCTCCTTTAGCATGTTATTCGCACATTTCCACCATAGCTCTGCTCTCAGGTTTAAAGTTCTTCAGTAATAATTCAGGAGACTTTCTTTTTGAAGGGTTTTATCTCTTAATACCATAGAAATCAAAATGGTTCTGAATGGGAACAGGCAGAGAGGTGTTGTTTGYATAAGAAACTGAAGTAAGGGGAAGAGTAAATGAAGTTGAATGCATGTCTTGGCTTGTCTAAAGTGGGATGTTTGGTTTTGTTAGTTTTCGGCTGAGATTTCTTGTTCCTAGAATGTTGCTGTATGGAAGAAGAGCGGATTGTCCACGTGATGTTGTGTGGTGTATTATTACCTGAGAGCTGAGCCAGTCAGTGTGGGTATTCCCTATGCTCTTTGCTCCTGTTTTACAATACTTGTGTGTGTGTTTTGTTTGTTTCTTTTCAATTAGTGATTTCTGATGGCTTAGTGGTGAGTGGCATAAAAGCCCGTTCACCAACGACTCTCAAGCTCTCCGAGGGCGACTCCTTTAAGTTGCGCTGCTCGGCCACCACCACCTCTCCCGAGCACACTCACCTGCATGTGACCTGGCAGATCAAAAGCGGAGCGACGTGGCAGGACATCCTGTCTTTGACTCACGAGGGCAAGTTCCAGCCTGGTCCCGGCTACGAGGAACGCTACCGCAATGGCGATGTCCGTTTGGACACAGGAGCAAATGACACCTATCAATTATCTGTGTCTCAGGCCATGCAGATGGATGGAGGTGCCTACAGGTGTCTTGTGAGCGAGTGGGTGAGAGGGGCAGATAGCTCCTGGCAGAAGATCCAGGAGAAGAGTGTGGAGGTTGCGAGCATGGCAGTCCAGCAGACTGGTGAGTAGTGCTGGTGGGAGGCTGCTTGGGGTGTCAAAGCTTGCAGCTTGCTGCTGTGTTATGTCCGGAYTGTGATGCATGGAGAGTAGAAATTCAGTAAGTTGAGCCAAATGAGGATGTCTCCAGGATGGTTTGACTGCTGTTTGGGTATCTGGCCTGTTTACCTCTGAATTGGTGGCAAATTCTTGTCATGATTTTTCAAGATGTTATTTTAAGAGAAATGAAGATGATGATGTGGAAGGATTGACTGGAATGTCTTGGATGCCTAGACAAATATTTTTACCTGCTGCTTGGATCACTCCTGATACCTCTTGTTTCTGTATTTTGTAAGCAGCACTATATTTATGTCTGAGCATTCCAGACTTGCCTGTGTGCTCGCTCACTGATTTAAAGGTGTTTCCTGGCACTGAGCAGTTGTATTTCCTCCCATTGCTGTGAAGCTTTTCTGTATGTTACAATTTAAAATACCTTAGAAAGATAYGGAGAAAAGAGGAAATGGGTGAGAATTTCAAAGGGCAAATGGTCCAGTGATTTCCAGTGCTGCCAGTGGAGCACTGGACCAATGGCACCGCAGTGTTGGCAGAGATCTAGCGCACGGGCCTGGCCTTCTGCTAATACRTTACTGCGCACCTGACAAGGAACAGCAGATTACAGGTGTTTGTAAGTAAAAATACAGTGAACGCTGCTCGGAGGTGGCTAATTAAGAGCTGTAGTTCTCCATTTTGTCATGCTTCTGCAGGAGTTGTCTTAAGTAGGTGGGATTGAATCAGTGGCWGAGGACAGGCTGAGAGGGGCCGTAGCAGTGGCTGATAGGCTCCCTCATTGGCAGCACTGCCAGTTTGCCAGGGGCATGAAAGCTTTGGCTAATCTTGCCCTACTTGGAGAGGCCGTTCTCCAGCAAAGCCATGTGCAGCTTGTTCCATGCCCATGCCATGGGGTGGCTTGCAGAGCACCACGTGCTGCCACCTGAACTCTCTGTGGCGCCTGCAGACTGACATGAGCCCGAGCTGTAAATACCAGGCCCGAGGACTGCACTTCCCGTGTCCTGCCCTGCTGTAACCGGGCACTGAATTTGCAGAAACAAATGAACAAGCAAATAATATATCCAAAGGGTGCGCTTAAACATAAAAGAGAAAAACAAGGATAGTTGGCAATAATGCAAGATTGCGCTATTAAAAAAAAAAAAAAAAAAAAGGAAAAACTTTGTTGTTGTTTTCTTTTTGTTTTCTTTTTGCTTGTTTATTTTGCTGCTCTGCTTGCCCATCATATTCATCTCCCTAAATTAGGACCTCTCTAGGCCTGACTTTGTACTTCTGTCTACTTTTTTTAATAGTGCCTTGTGCTACAGAGATTTAACSCTACATGAGGCCTTCAGACACCTCTATAACTTAAAAAGGAGCCTTGATTAAATGCTCCTGGAGCACTTYTCTAGGGCCATGCTGTAGTGCCCCAGTGCGTGTCACGAGCGGCTAGGATTAGGGCTGTTCTTGACCTTGCACGAGTCTCATTTTGCATCCTGGTGTTCACGTGGCCTTTCTGCTGGATGCAGTGCCCCAGCAAGAGCGTGGTGGGAATGCCTGTGGGGCACGTGGCTTCGCTCAYGTGGGGCTTGCCAAGTGCCGCTCAGTTCCCGCACCCTGAGCACTCAGCTAGGTGCTGGAGAGGAGCGAGCCTGGTTTCGTTGGCAGTGGTTGTGGCCAGTAACAAACTCAGTGTGGCTCTGCCTCTTGCAGATTGCCTCTCCTGACGAGAGTCTAGAAAACYGGTAGGGGTGTGTGTGGGTTGTTCTGCACCAGCACATGGTTTTCCCACATGGCAGTCACTGCCCTGCCAGCGAGGCTCGGCTGCGTGCACAAGGCAGGAGTCCTTCCGCGTCGCTCCCAGAACTGCCCAGGGAGCCGCTGCTGCTGAGYCCTGTCCCCTGGCCAGGAGTCCCCCGTAACTGGGACTCCACGTGCAGCCACAGTATGTGCTACGGAAGCAGCTGGTGCTACATGAAGACCACATCTAATCGCTAGGACGTGTGGGCAGGTGAAGGTGCAGGGTGAGGAAGCACCTGGGATCCACACGCAGTGCAAGCAGCCCTCTTGGCCCATCTCTCCCCGGCGAGGTAGGCAGGCTATCCTGGCTCTCGCCTTGGCGCTTTGATCCTGAAGCCCCCTTGCTATCCGCTAAYGTTTATTTTATTTACTAATTAAGCWACTGACAGCCTGATAACCTGCAGAATGCAGAAGGTCCTGGTTGAATGCTGTCTGGGCCATGTGTACTATGCGTGTTAAAAATAGTCTTTGCACAGAAGATGAGTTTACTGTGTGTGTTGTGACTTGCTGTTGGTACTGGATCAAAGCCTCAAACGTGTGTTTGCACATGTCACACTAAAAAAAATAAGAAAAAGRTTATTATTTTTTAATTTTTGTTTGCATTTTTGTCTCTTTTCCAAGCCCTAGATGTGCTCATCTCAACATTAAACGTGTCTGTGAGTGAGGGAGACTCACTGGATCTTACGTGTAACATCACAACAGACAGGAGCGGGATTTTCCAAGCGGCAGTGATGTGGTATTTCACCGCTTCCRCCGATGATGCCTTGTCAGACGCTCAGGTTTTGCTGAGCATGGACCATGACTCTGTAGTCAGCGACTCAGCTCTGCTCAGCCTGAGCCGTGTGGACAGGAACTCCTATCGCCTGCTGGTGCGGGATGTGGACGTGGAGGACTCCGGCTACTACACCTGCCAAGCAGCCATTTGGGCACCGCAGCACAACGGGAGCTGGCAGAAGGTGGTGGAGAGAACGTCTGCGCCCATCAGCGTGGTGGTGACAGCACTAGGTGAGTAGTGCTGCCCTCAGACCTCATGGGTAACACACCATGCCTTCTTCGATCCCATCAGAAGATGGAGAGGGCCYTGGAAGTCCCCTCTGAGCAAGTTTTTGTCTCTTTTGCAAGTACCAATGTGTCATCACACAGATGTAGGGTGTCTCCCCCTCGCGTGTAGAAATGCTGATCTATCTTTCAGATCTTTGCATTTGTGCGTTGTGGGTCTTTTGAATCTCTTAATGTACATTCCACTCGTGCACTCTCCTTCCTGGTGTCGCTGAACAGAGTGGAAATGGCAAATATTACCAGAGAACCTCCCTAGTCTGCTGGAGGCGGAAGCTGCCCTCAGTGCCATGCCTTCTTTCGTCCCCCTGTACTGTGTCAGCGGGATGCTCATCCAGCAACCAGCGTTCTCTCTGAGCTCTGAATACAAGGGCACCAAAGAGTTTCCATGCTTTTTATATCAATTGTATATGCTAATGATTTTATATATAAATAAAAATATGAATTACATATTATAATGATAATGGTAATGCAGAACTYCATATTGAACTCTAAAATCTTTCCAAGTTTGGGGTGTTTGGGGGCTGTGTTTTGCACTAGAGAGATCMCATGCTGCAGATGGTTTAAGATGGGACTTGCTACTATTTTATTCTCCTCCCTCCATGCTTACAAGTCCATTTTAGGAGAGCTGCTTAGTAGTATGACTTGGAGAGACCTGGCTAGCTGATATTCAAAGGCGGGAAGTGTTGATTAGCAGAGTGGCCATTAACATGTTCTTTTTTATTGTGGCATTTAGCTTTCTATTCAGTTTTGCTTTTTGTGGTGTGCTTTGATCGTTTAATTCTGTAAGTGAGTGGAATTTTAGGCTTTGGGACATGCAAAGTATTACTTGTGCATCTGAATTTACAGTTTGTTTTTAAGGCCTGCAGTATTGCTGCAGTAACTTCATTCGTTAATGAGGAAAAAAACATCTACTTAGCAACCCAATGATGCCTTTGTTCTCTCCCTCCTTCCCCTCCCAAATTGTCTAGGTGTGTTTCCCCATTATACTGCTTTAAAACCATCCAAACTAATTGTAAAAGGCAAGTCAGAGAGCGATGTGTTTACCAATTTTTTGGTTTATATCGAGTTCTTGAATTTCAGTGTAGATATTGGTGGACAAGTTAGTGAATGAGGAGCTGAAGACGAATGTCAGGACGGGTCAGCAGGCTCCTCTGGTCTGCCTGGGCCACAGAGGCAGCCTAACAACATCTTTCCTTACACCCCGGTCCCAGGAGAGGCATCTGTTTGAGATCCTCTGTCATGTGCTTGCTGAAGATCAGGAGGCTTTTGCTTTGCATTACCCCAGCCGAACTCTTAAGCTTTAGAGACCTGTCTTCATGCAAAAATTCTTAGAATCAAACTTACTGGGAGCAAGAGTGAAAAACAAGCCCAGGCAAAACTTCTATAAAGCTTATCTTTTCAGGAATGGCTCTAGGTATTATATGTTAGTCTGTGTGTCCTATCCCTTTGTTTAATCTTGAGATAAAACAACTTTTTCAGCTTAGAAAAGAAACAAAACGCCCAAACAAGCAAACAAAGCCCTCGTGGTGTTGCAGAACATGGTAAGTAAGGTTTACACCTCATGTTCCCTGCTGAACTTCACATGAAGTATTGCTTGTGCTGAAAGCATGAATGAGCATAGATGTGAGCCAGAAAAGAGCAGGCAGAGATGTGGTGCTCTGTGCTTGTCCCCAGCCTGGGCTGAGTGTGAGTACCTTGGCCTAAACCATCCTGATGTATCTTGAAGTCAAAGCCTCTTGTAAGCAGAGACCAATGGTCCTGACCAGCTGCAGGAGCAGATTTCCTCAAAGTGTATATGAGTGAGGCCAGTGTATAGAAAGACAACTCGGAGGCCTGTTTTCCAGAAATAAATGACTCTATCACCAGACAGCGACTGTTTTTTTTTTTTTTGTATTTAGCATTGTGAAGAGACAAAGCGCAGAGCAGGAAGAGCCTTGGCTGTTTCAAGTATACCTGTAATGTCATTTCCAGTCCCTATCCAGCCATTCCAACTACGTGTTCACCTTCTAGTGTCCCCTGCCCCCTCTAAAAGCACCCATGTGCACACACACTCGCGCATGCACAAGTGCACACCTATGCCCTCTTCTATTCCTGGAATATCCCCTACTCTTTCTGCTACAGCTGGGACCTATGTGTGGATAAGAGAGACTAAAAKCTTTTCAATAGAAATGTGGTTGCCAGGGGAAGGGAAAGTGGAAGAGTTTTTCAGCAGCTGAGGTGCTTGGCTGCATCCAGAATTCAACAACTCCCTCCTCCTTAATGAAAGTTAAGAGCTACTGTGACATTAAGTCATGGAGCTGTCAGTGAGGCTGTTCTTTGACAGCTGACAGAGTAGAGGAATGAGGTTTATCCAGCCACTCTTTTATTCTTTCTAAATCCTCTGAGTGTCTGTCACAGTGAAGCGCCTATCTAGAATGGGGCTGTCAAAGTCAAAACTCATTTTCTTCATGGTTCTTCCCCTCCTCCCTCTCTCTCCAAAAACACCCTTAAGTGATTAACTAAGAATTCCCATTTCTTTCAGCTCTGTACTTGYGTTCCCATCCCGAGAAGAGTTTCTGCTTTCACAGTCTTTGCGGCTGTGAAAATATTTATTAGACTTGAATGCCTTTGCCCCTAGAGGGGGGAGAGGAAGGGGAAATGAGAAGAAAACTGTGGTGTTTGAGCAATATGTCATGAGGCCCTGGAGAAGACTGTAGTCTTTTGTGAATGAGATGTAAAGAGTGGTGTAGTCATGGGGTCTGTAGGGATTTACTTATACCAAAAATGACTTATGGCCTCCGCTATTAATCTATGACTTGGCTGCAGAGAAGGATTTTTTTTTTTTCTTTTGCCTGACCAGTATGGAGAGTCTGCAAAACACTACGCATAAGCTCACTGGTAGTAGGCACTGTGGACTTGTGTAGYAGCACTCTTAGGCTTCTGTGCTATCTAATAGTGCAGAAACCTAGTGATTTAGAGACTAGTGTCTGGTCTGTGTTAATGCTGTCATTCTTGCCAGATGCAAGGACACTGCACACATAATACTAATAATGAGAGATGCTCTCCTCAAGCTGGCACAGCAGCAGTCGCCCTGCTTATATAGAGTTGGTTCTGTTCTATGCATCTGTGAAGACTAAACGTGCACATGGGCAGCAGTTCTAGTAAGATGTTTTATTAGCTCGTTGGTGATCCAAGCCTCAGATTTAGCTTTGGTTTGCCTTCTGTGTCCCAATTATAGTTTCAGTTAATTGTTTCTAGGAGGGTAAAATGCCAAGTAATACAAAAGCAAGAATTAAATATAGAGCACAGAATACATGGATAACAAAATCCACGTGATGAGTATTGGCCAAGGAATTGGAAGACTAGTCTTTTTCTTTTGTACCAAATAATAGTAGACAGCAAGACAGAAGAATATTCTAATACTAGTAAATAACCATATATTTCCTTTGTGCTGAGGGATTCTTGCCATAATCTTTTTTCTTTACTATCTCTCTAGTCTGAGGAAAAAAGTCATGCGACTGCCTTATCGCTTKTGGGCTTTGGACAATGAGTTGTTTCAGCTTTAAATAACTCGGCCTGTTTCCTTAACCCATGAGTTTCAGGCTCTCCTCCTTTGCAAACGTGAGGGATTCCAACCTCACATACAGCATGTACTTTACTTGCAAACTGTGAGACTCTTCTGATATATATGCATCTCTGGCTGTTAACCAACTTCATATTTATTACAGTGTCAGCCAAATTTACTATGCGCTGCTGTTGGTGTTTCTTATTGCCAATGTCACTGATTTTTTTTTTTTTGTTTGTTTTTAAGTTCATAGTGTGTGTGTTATAGAGAGATGGTGGGATAAGTGTAGGAGGAAAAAAAGAAAACAGCATTTCAATGCCTGAAATGGGAGATGACCTTTTACCCTGGAGAGAAAGTGGAGAAATAGGATGTCTAGAGAATAACTGGCCTGTTGACGCAGGCTGCCTTGGGCATTTGGTTGGGTCCAGAAGATGACTGGATGTCTGAAAATGAAGCCATGATTTGGGTTCTTGGACACAGGCCTAGAGGAGGGAGTGATTTTGCTCAATTTGCTCACTTTGTCCTGACTTTTCTGAAATGTTCTGACTAGACAGAAAAAAAGAAATTCTGTTTGGAAACGCAGGCCTAGGGGGACTTTCTTGGTGCAGGTCTGAGAACTTGCGTCAAAGTTCCCAGTCTGCAGACCTTACCAGAAAAACATATGTTCTGGTGCTTGATTTTTAGCTCCTGTGCTGTTACAAACTAGATGGTAGCAGCATTCTTATATATTGTTTTTATCAACCTTTGCCACTTATTCCTGCTTTGTAACTTCTAACCTCTTTCTGCTGGGTTTTTTCCTCCACAGAGCCAGATTATGAGGTGTTCCTGAATGCTTCTAAAACACCCAAGTTCTCGGATGACCCCACGGAGCTCGAATGCAGGATCACAAACATGCAGGACTTGGAAGCAAACACCCGCTTTACMGTCTCCTGGTACTACAGGCTGCGGCTGCGCAGCGACGATGTGGTGCCTGAGCAACTCCTGGCCTCAATGGATGCAGACTGGACTCTCCTGCTGGGGGAGAGGAGCAGGGAGCGGACTCAGAATGGGGAAATAATCTTCTCCAAGAAAGCTGTGAACACCTTCAGTTTGCGAATCCAGTGGACTTCAGAAAGTGACAGAGGGGACTATTTYTGTGTCATCTCTGCGTGGAGTAGGCACCGCAACAACAGCTGGGTAAAGAGCAAAGATGTTGCTTCTGCACCTGTCAGCATTTTCTGGGCTACACAAGGTAGGAATTCTGCACTATTGACTGGAAGACCTGAATAGGTAGTTTTCTCTCGAGTGGCCCCTGTCAGCCAGAAGCCTGATAACAGGCTTTGGAAATGCATTTCTGCTATGAAAAGGGGGAAAAATGTTATTTCCACTTGCAAAGGCAAAAAAATTGTAAAGGGAAATAACTACTTAACAGCACTAGCCAGTTCTGTGCAACATTTCTGGAGAGGAATTGAAAAGGGGGTACGTCCATGACACTGTGCTGAGACTTCCAGGAGCCAGTTTGTCACTGTGGCGCAAGGGTGGCACCCAGCAGCGACGCTGCGGTCRCCGCTCTCTTTCTTGACTCCTGTCATGGAAGGGCTGCCCCTCTCTCCCCAGGAGCAACCTCTTGTTGCCAGYGACAGCACTATCTTGGGCAAGAAGGGAAGTGTCATTCACTTCAAAGCTTTTCTGGTTACTGGTTTGATAGTTTTCCTCTCTTGTGCTCTGTGTTTACAGGCCCATGCTCAGAAAGCACTACTGAGGAAGCCTTATGGGCACAGTAGTATCAGTATCAAAGGCGAGTGGAAGACAGCAGTCATTTAACACTTAACTCTAATCTGGACATTTTTTAGGAAGAAGTGGATTAGCTCTAGTCGTCACCCAAACTCTGTGTAGGACCATGTCTTAGGAGCCAAGTGAAGCTACCCATATCACTTATTACCCGTATCGGCTGTCCAGCTGGCCTGTGGAGGAAAGGAATTGGTTTTTTTTCATTTAAATGTAAGGTCCTGCAAGAGGGTTTGTTGGGTAAGGAAAGAAGGAATAGGATAGCTGAAGATGTTGCATTGTCAACAAAAGCCCTGTCCTTATCTAAGCTGTTCATTCCGCAGCAGATCTGTCCGAAAGGCCTAGTTCAAGCAGCCATGGGCAAGGAGGCCTGTGTTTCAAAGACAGCTAGCCTGATACCAGTTTAAAGTCGCTCAGGGATTATCCTTAGACAGAGATATCCTTAGAGAAAGGAGTGGGGTCCCTTGCTCCAAACTAACAGCCTTCCTGTGCAGGGCCAGGGCGGTGCTCCGAACCCTGGCCCATGYTCCATCAGGACCATGGACCCTCACGGAGGTGGCGGCCGGTCACCGCTCCGGGCCGCCCTGATGTGACTTGGGGCGCACACGCTCGCCTAATGGGCYGTTGCCTTTGGAGCGGCTAGAGAAACCAGCTGGAGTTCAGAAGAGATGTGATGTGGCCGTGATGTGGCCGAGGGCAAACAGAGCGTGGCAGGTGTGAACAGTCCCATGTTCCTGGCGTTCTTCCAAATCCGCTGATTTTGTGGTACTGTAACGCGAAGGTAACTGTTGGAGTCCCCGTGCTGAAAAGTACGTTTTTTGGCAAAAATTGGAGTTCGGGGGTTTATGATGTGAAAGCCAACTGTCATTTAAAGAGCCTTCCCCTTCTGAAAAGAAGYGTTCTGTAGATGCGCAGGGAGAAGACGTTGAGCTTTGCTTGCCCTCCCCTTCCTCCCCCCATCTGCTCCCCTAGAGCGGCTGGTCCTCTGCAGGGCCCCGGTGCGTGGCCCGCGGGCTCCGCTGCGAGCAGCGAGGGCTGCAGCGCGCGCCGCAGCCAGGAAGGAGTTAAGCGGCTGCTGCCGCTGCTCTCCCGCTGTTGTTGTGACAGGCATCTCTGGTGATTTGAGTCCCTAACTGCTCCCTAGGCTTATAAAAGCAAGCAGCCAGGCGCCCACGTGTTTGCCTAAGGAGAGGGCCCAAATTGGCCTGCGCCTTGCGCAGCTTGTGCTCATGCAGAGGCTTTTCTTCAAATTGTTTCGTTATTAGCAATTCCCTCTTAACTTCAGAGCGGGAGTGGGGGAACTTGGGAGAAATGCCCCTCTGGAAAAGGTAGCTTGAATGGAGGTTTTCAAGAAACGGGAGAAAAGACTGTGTGGCATCAGTGGGTCCGTCTGCACAGGGAGCGGGGACAGGGAGGGCAAGGAGGCCTTGCTGGCAATGCATGTGCCATGTGCGGGTGCCCAAACCCTCTTTGCTTGTGTGTAATAACTTGCATGGCTGCCCACTCTGAGGCTTTTTAATGTGCGTTTTCATTCTGTTGAGACTGATTAAGTTCACATGTCTTTCTGCTTACTCAGCTTTGCAAACGCCGCCACTCGTCATCATGCATTGCCGTTGTTTTATGCATGGTCTGCTTAATTTCTTTGTTTCTTCTGCTTCTACTCCTTTCATCCAAAGGTGGCAAAGGAAATGWCCTTATCTAAGCTCACAAAAGCATCGATTATGTTTTTATTCTTAGCTTAATCGCTGATTGGAACTTGTTCTTTAAAAAGGAGTAAGGCAAGGGAGGAAACCTTTTTTGAGTGCATCTTCAGATTATTTGGAGCTCCGAGTAAGTTTGATGTGTTAAMAGATAGTGTTATTTATTCATTAATTTGAGTGTGAATGGTGACTGCACTAAAAACAGTTGCTATTTGCAGGAAGTGCCGAGTTGCTGCTTGTTTCTTAAATTAGTGTTGTCAGCTTTGGATCTGCTTGGAAGCCCTCACAAAAGGAGAACATCGTTCAATTGGACCTCCATATTGTAAAGATACTATTATTTGGGTGTCGTTAATAGTTCTGTTTTAAACTTATAATTATATTTAGCATAATGTCAATTATCATAGAATCATAGAATGCCGAAGGTTGGAAGGGACCTCAGAGGTCATCGAGTCCAACCCCCCTGCTCA